CTCAAAGTGGCTTCATAATGTGCAGCAAGATTTAAACAACATGTAAACATTAGGCATGCTATGTATACATATATATATATATATATATATATATATATATATATATATATATATATATATATATATATATATATATATATATATATATATATATATATATATATATATATATTTATATATATTTATATATATTTGTTATATATAAACATGAACATATATTATTAGATAGTATTATAAATATTATACTATTGTTGTTAATAATATAATCTTACATATGATAAATATAAAAAACAGGCAGCAATAACCACAACAATTAAATAATTATTTTATTTTTTTCAATTTTATTTAGAAAGGAAAAATTGAAGAAAAATAAAATAGCTGAAAATAATTCAAAGAAAATCAAAGTACTTGGAAGTAAATATGGAAAACACTGTTTATGGAATAATACATTTATGATATCAGCAGTTGAAGCTGTAAAAAACGGAATTTCACAGAGATTTGCTTGTAAAGCTGTTGGCGTTTTAAGATGTTTGTTGCAAGTTCGAATATCCAAAATTAGAACCAAACCTGGAAACCCAAATACTCTAACTGCAAAAATGAAAATAAAATAGTAGATTTTGCATGCAACTATGCATCTTTAGGAATAGGATTCGGTCGATCTCAATTTTTTAAATATGCACAAAACTTTGCTTTAAAACATAAAAAATCATTTAAGAATGGAACACCTTCTGAAAACTGTAGACTGGAATGTGCAAAAGGCACAAGCGCTTTACTTTACGTTAACCAGAACGTACAGCTGCTATTAGACATCAATGTATGAATGCTTTCAAAGTTTCAAAATATTTTTCTGTTTTCAAAAAGATGTTAATCAAAAACAACTTTAATAATAAACCACTAAACATTTATAATATGGACGAGCGGATATGCAGTTTGATTATCGCCTTGGAAAAATAATTGCTAAAAAAGGAGTAAAGTATCTATATAGCCGTATTTTAGGTTATCGGAAAACACTTACTGTTATTGGGTGCTTTAATGCAACCGGTAACTCTATACCTCCACATTTTATAGTATAAGGAAAAACTATAAGATCTCTGTACAATTTTCAAATTGAAAATGCCCTTAAAATGAAGCACATGGAGTGTTTCAGACCGTTATAGGACAAAGCAGGGCATTGCGTTTCTCTGGTTTACAAAGTCATTTCTTCCAATTATTGGTTCTGGAAGACCTCAGTTATTCAATTTAGATGGACATGACTCACACAACTTTGTTGAGTTGTTAGATGTGGCTGTGGCAAACTTACTACAACCTTATGATAAGACAGTATTTTGCCCAACTGACTACAACCTTATGATAAGACAGTAGTTGGCCCACTCAAAAAAGCTTACAGAAAAGCATGTGAGAATTTGATTAGTAATTTTCTTGGGACACTAGTTTAAAAAGTAAGTTTTTGTGGCTTAATGATGCATGCTTGGAGTGAATCTGTTACTGCTAATAATAAATCTGGTTTTTGGACTTCTGGAATCTATTCACATAATTCAAATATAGTTTCAACTTAAGCTTACATCCCTAATTCTCTATACAAGCCATCAGAAAGCCATCAAAAAAGTAAGAATGTATTGAATAACAGACAAATTACCATCACTATCTTATGATCATGGTGAAATAAAAGAGTTTATGGAATATCCATCAAATACAACAAATGAGGAAGAAGTTGACTTTTCTATATCAGCGTTAGCAATTAACAAATCTCCGCTTTTAAATTTTGATCATACATATGCCATTTCTAATACATCAGTAATTTAGTTTCTGTTATTATTAATGATAAAGATAGTGTCATTTTTAATACACCAGCAACTAATTTAGATTCTGGTAATAATAACCAAGATAATATCACGAGAAAAAAAGAGATAGGAGGTTTTGATATCTTTCAAAGTTTTCCATTTCAAAATCATTCGTTTCCAGGAGATCCAGATTTTGATGTTTTACCTTATCCAACACAAATCATTAAAAAAAATAAAACAGCATTAAAACAAAAAAATATTTTGCATTGAAAGAAGCTATGGGGTAAAAACATGCAGAAGTTAAAAATAAGTTACTCCAAGAAGAAAAGAAAAAAGAAAATATTATTTAGAAAAAGAAAAAGCATAAAGAAAAACTACTCCAAGATTTAAAAAAAAAAAAAAAAAAAAAAAAAATACAAAGTGAAAAAATATATTTAAAGCTGCAAAAGAAATGAAGACAAACATTTTCTTTTTAATTATTATTTGTTTTTATTTTGCGTCATTTTGTTTAAATTATTCGTTTTTATTTTATTTATTGTCTTTAACTTGAATATTGATCTTTTAATATCCTAGTTATTGCTATGTTCTACTTTGTATTCCTGATTAAACTTGTAATAAGTAAACAAGCTTAGTTTCGGTGTCTTATTTCTATATTATGCCTTAATCTGGCCGATAGCCAGAATTGGGTAAGAACCGGCCAAAATTACATCTAAATAGCCAGAAATAGGTTTTTTAGCGTAGGTCTAAAATATTGGTGCATAAGCTCTTGTCTAGCCTAATTTAAAAAAAAAGTTTGTAGTTATATTTATCTTTGAATGTCCTATTAATATTAAAATTGTTTTGTTTATACTAGGCTATGCGAATTTATTTTTAAAAACAAATGAGTAAGAAATGGCCAGATTTTGGTCAGTTTGCCCGAGCGGATTTTATTGTTTTTTCCCAAAAAAGTTAAAGCCAAAACTGGCCTTCCAAGATGGCGGGGATTAAAATTACTAGCGGTTAAACCAATATAGATTTTATATGGCTTTATTAAACTATGATAGAAAATAATTAAAAAAGGCTAATAAATTAGTTCAAAATAAAATAAAACAAATGAATTTTATAAATATTAGACATTAAAAAGAAACTATTTTTTGAACAATTCAATTTATTATTAAATGGAATTTACAATTTTAATTAAATTTTGTGTTTAATTTATGTACCTTTTAATTCTTAGTTACCCAATAATGTATGTTAGAAGGTTAACAACACAACAGCATGGCAAGCAGCAATCATCTCTTCCTACAATTTTATATTCGTTATTTTTTGTAGCAAGATACCGTTTTGTACAAATGCTGCATGAACTATTAACTCAGTTAATAGTTCATGTCAGTATACAAACTTAGGAGTTCCTTCTAGAATTATATTATAATTCTAATATTGCATAAATTATTTTAATAAAACATTCTAAGGGGTCACTTATGCTGGTAAAAAATACAGGTCTGAATTATAGTTATTTCTAGGTACGCAGAAATACCGATTGACGGAACTGAATTTTGTGCTATAATTCTGTGTCTCGATTTTTTTATTTTATTTGTTTTTTAGTTGTGTAAGCAAACATATTTTTAAGGAGTTTTTTTTTAGAAATATAGTATATTTTTAGAAAGAAGAAGAGTTAAGCTTGTTTTTTATAAGACTTTTATGTATGGTTATTGAATTTTGTTATGGATTATTTTGCTACTGAAAAAAAAGTTGGCGTTCTCACATGAATTTATAGTCAAATAAATATTGAGCCCCTCTTTTTATTATTAAAAAAGTTTTCTACATGCATTTTCTTTGCACATGCCGAATTTCACCAAAAAAGAAATATAAGAAAATAGTTTAATTAGCGATATTTTAAGTATAGCACTTTTTTTAGATACGATTAGGCAAACTTATTTTTTTAGTAATTCTTTTTAAAATCATATATAATTGTAAACTATTATTTAAAAGAAGTAAAGTTAAGCTTGTTTTTTATATGTTTTTTAAGCATGGTTGCAATACTTTTTAATGAACTATTTTGCTGACAAATTTCTATAAAAATTTGGTTGATGTTCTCACATGAATTTATTGTCGAATAAATGTTGAGCCCACTTTTTTTTATTATTAATAATGTTTTCTACATTCATTTTCTATGCAAATGCCAAATTTCATTTAAAAAGAAATATAAACAAATAGTTTAATTAGTGATATTTCAAGTATAGCACTTTTTTTAGATACGCTTAGGCAAACTTATTTTTCTAGTAATTCTTTTTAAAATCATATATAATTGTAAACTAATATTTAAAAGAAGTAAGGTTAAGCTTGATTTTTATATGTTTATTAAGCATGGTAGCAATACTTTTTAATGCACTATTTTGCTGACAAATTTCCATGAAAATTTGGTTGATGTTCTCACATTAATTTTTAGTCGAAGGAATGTTGAGTCCCTTTTTTTTTATTATTAATAATGTTTTCCACATTCATTTTCTATGCACATGCCAAATTTCATCGAAAAAGAAATATAAGCAAATAGTTTAATTAGTGTAGCACTTTTGGTACTAATTTCTGTTTTTCTGTTGTTGTTTGTTCGGCAAGCAGAGTACGGGGGGTGGGGGGTGGGGCTAGTGGGGCCATTTCTATAAACAAAAACTATTACATTAATGTGTTATTTTTATTTAGACATAATAAAATGGAAAAAATCAATAAAAATTTTTTAGATTTTCTAACAGGTAAGTTTATTTTTTTTTTCTTTTAAATACTATTATCAACAATTATTTCTAGAACAAAAACAAAATTGATAAATGTAAAACGTTAATCTTTTTCTAAGTACCCATCAAACACACGAACGTCAGAAGGACGTTGCGAGGACGTCCTACTCTGACTGTCCGTTTATAGTCGCAAAGTGTAATCCCGCTTGACGTCAAATAAAGACGTCGTAATGACGTTGCGTTTGTGACTATAAACTGACCGTCCGGATGTAGCGCCTTCTTGACGAAAACTCTATGTTCATATAAACACGTATTTTGCTTGAGGGAAACCCCTTTAACAAATTCAAAAAAAAAAAAACTTTAATAACAATATTGTTTTTATTTTAAAGGAGCAAACAACCTAATTTTTCTTAGGCCTAATATGTTGTAAAATAAAACTTATACTAGCCATTGCATGGAGTGATATTTTTCTCTTAGAAAGATCCAATTTCAGAGAAATAAAATACAAGAGTAAAGACAAAAAAATCTATTAAAAAAAAAATCTTTAATATTAAAATAATATAAAGTTTCATTTCTTGATCATTAACTGTCGTCATTTCGTAGATTTTTCGCACCACCTTTTCGCAAAGGAGCGTGTTTCAAAGTAACACCAATACTATTTTCCACATCTTTTTCAGTATATTTCTTCAACTTCGCAACAGTTGCTGGAAAAATAACAAAAACAATTTAAACTTTTTATTTTTAAATCTTAATTTTCCAACTTGTTTTTATTAATCTAGTTGGCGTAAAACTAGTTGGCATAAAGTAACATTTCCCAAGTTTGTTATACGTCTAGACTTTTGCCACAAAGCTGGCCATTTAGGGTCAAAATTTGATAAACTGAATTGCCATTATGCAGTTATTAGCTATATGAGTAATTGTCTCCAACAAACATTTTATATATAATTTTAAATCAGGGTTGTCCACTCAAAAACTTAAAAAATTACAGCATATTTTTAAATAACAGCCTTGTCCCTAGTTTTTCCAGCAGACACCATGTATATTTTTCTAATTGTAACTAATATTATTTTTTCTAAAATTAAAAAGAATAATTTTTTTTATTGTAAAATGACTAATTTAAATTATATCTATCTATTTATCTACCTGTCAGCTGTCTCAAATTTTAACAGTGCTAATAAACCGTATTTTAGAATTGAACTAAAAAAGTGCAATTTTTCTCTAATTTGTAATAATAATTTAACTTTTTAATAAATGTTCTAATTTTGTAATAAATAAAAATAACTTACCAACTATTAACTTCATTTTATTTGTTTTTCGAAAAGACAGCTTATTGAACTTCCCGTTCAAATTGTATTCGCTCATGACGCCATTTGACATAACCCTTAAAAGTAAAACATGTGGTTTACCACCTCAAACAAATGAACTTAAAAAAACAATCATCAAAACAGGGAAGATTTGCGGGGCCCAAAATAAAGATATATGAACATTTTTCTAAATTTCCCCAGACCATATGTACAATTCATGATTCTTGTGGGGGCCATGGTAATAATATATGGTAATACAATAATAATTATCAACCATTTTTATAAGGCAAAACCGTATTTTTTAAATATATAAAAAAAATCAAAAATAAGATTCATAACCAACGTACTTGTTCATAATATTCCTAACATATTCATGGCATGTTGCTTCTCCACAGTTTTCAAAGCGACTAAGCTAAACAAAAACAATGTAGAAGTTTCTAAGTGTTTATAAAGTTCTCTGCAAATAACACGCTCAAGTGCCCATCTATTCTAACTCCATTTTTAATTGTTGGGAGATATTAATAAGTGACCTTTAAAAGGTAAAATATTATTTGCTATCAAATTTATCAATTATTTATAAGCAAAAAAACTAAAATGAAAAATTATTTTATTTTTATTTTATTTAAATTATTTCTTTCAGATATTAACTTTGAAACGTTCATTTAACACTTTAAAATGGATTTAGAATAAATAAGTACTCAGGTCACAAACAGTTCTAATTATTTAGTTGCTCTAGGAAGATTTTTAAAAAAAGGACATTTTTCAAATTGCCACCTTAAACGTGTAGTATTTAAATAAGAATAATTATGAATATCTGAAACAAAACTCACAAAACACATCTTTTTATCATTTTCACTGAGAGTATCATCAAACTCTTTAAATTTTTCAATTTCAGTTAATTGTTCAATAAAGTAAGGTGAATCATCCTTTTCATATCGCTGACCAAGTGACTTAATCATTTCTTTTAAAACGATAAAGTTCTCAAAAACTTTTGATTGGAATCCTAAAATATAAGAACTTGTTTAGTCTACTTTAAGATTCAAATTATTATTGTTGAATAATATCCATGTTGATTTATGTCAACCATTTCACATAATTATTTAGAGAAACTAAATTTAAAAAAATCTAAACAAAAAATATACTTACTTTGAAATGATGCAACAGATATACTCATTGTATCTGTACTATTATTCGAAAACACCTGATTCTTTACAGGAGACAACAGTTCAGAGCTACTGCTACTACTGAAATCCACTGATGCTGCTAAAAATATTCGATGACATGAATTTTTAAATTCAACAAATATTAAACATGATACAAACATGTACAATATGTCTAAAGTGTTATCAAAATCACCATATGCAAAAATTTAGCACAAAAAAATAGCATAAAATAAGTTTAAACAACATACTTAGAAATAATCAAAAATGGAAAGTATACTAATAAAATGTCCTCTACGCATAACATACATAATTGATGTGATCTAAGAATTGAAGCATCCTCTAATACCAACTTCCTTTTCTTTTTATCCGGGGAACTGTATTTAGGATCCTCCACTACCAACTTCCTTTTGCTTATGTCTGGGGAACTGGATTTTGGAGAGTTGAACTCTATCAGTAAATATATCATTAATGACTTTTGTTTTATATTATAGGAATTTATTTCCATAAACTGTCAATAATCATTAAATGCAATTATAAAAAATAAGCGATATTTGGAAATAAAAATATAAAAAATTATTAGTATTTACATATTACTTATCATTAATTCAATATATCAATGAAATTATAGAAATATTAAAAACAGGATAAATGTATTTAAGAAAAATTCTCTTTTAAAAAATGAGTCCTGTAGATTACAGCAGAAAATAAGTAAGTTAAAATAAAAAAGTTTTGTTTTTTTACCTTTTCTACTACTTTTTCTTTTATCTGAAAAATGTGGTGGAGGTGGCGTTGTAACATAACTTTTACGGCCAGACACTTTAGGTTCTAAAACTAAAGAAAGTAATAAACCAGGCCAATTACACGAAAATGCACCAAACACATAACTTAGCATGATTTAAAACTACATGAAAATGCACCAAACACATAACTTAGCATAATTTAAAATTTTCTGATAATTCAACTTTTTCTACAGAAATATTCTCTTATAAACAATCTGGTAACTAAATATTATTAAAGCGTAAACATTTGTTGTTTTTTGTTTGATACTTCCTCGATTAAAACTCTGCGCAAAACTTAATTTATAAAAGCTTTTTTGGAACAGATAATTATTATAATGATTTTAAAATAGTATTGCTTATTAAAATAGTAATTTGTATCAGTCATCCTGTACTACATTTTAAAAGTAAAAAAACAAAACATTTACCACTATTTTTTGGAGGCGAGGTACAATTATCTGTGAAAGTAAAGTTAAAATTCTCACAAGTATGGAGATCATCTGATATATAAAAAAAGTAAACATATAAAGTAAACATAGCATCAACAAAGTAATACACATTACATCCTTGCATTAGGTTATCAACGTTTTTTTAAATGTCATAAATACATTAAAAAAATATGAATAATGTATATACATTTCAGAAAAAATTTTCTCAAATAATGCATATAGATGCATTTTTTGATAAGAATTTGTATGCAGAACTGTATGCAGCTAAAATGAAATAAGTTGAAAAAAAATGTTTTTTTTTACCTTATTGCTGTTCCTTCTTCTAACTGATGAATGTGATTGAGATAGTGTTTTTATTTTGTTTTCATAACCAGTAACTTTATTAGGCTCTAAAATTAGAGATCTTAACAATTCAATTTTTATACTTAAAAAACAAAAAATAAAAATGAATAATAAAATAAAAAATTAACTGTTAAGATGAATACACAAAAACACATCAACATAACAGTTTTACTTTTAAAATAAATACCATAAACAGCATAACTTAATTTTTTTGGACAAGACAAATTTTTTCTCAAAATTGCTACCTACGTTTTCTCCTAAACATTCTGGGAACTAAAAGCACTTAAGTGTAAACACTTGAACTAGAAATCTTTTGATAATTTAATTATTCAAAACGTAATTTAATAAGGCTCTTAGAATGCCTCATTGTTTGGGAAGGAAACTTTCATAAGTCACAAAATACAAATCTACCATGTTTATATTTTGGAGGTGAGTTACAATCATCTGCATCTGTGGTAAAGTTGAAATCTTCACAAGTATGACGATCATCTTAAAAGAAAAATTTAAATAATATAAAAAATGTAATAAATCATTTTAGGCATTTCATTTGCTAAGCTTAGTTAACAGAAAAAATTAAATTAAATACTGTTAAGTTAAATGTCTTCTAAAAAAAATAAGTACAATATAAATCTTATCAAGTACAATGAACACATAGATCGAGTCTTACTTGAACAACATTTTAGTTTAACCAGATCAAATTTCAACCAATTTTTGTTAGGGGATCTACCTTCTGATAAAGCTCTTAATGCATTAATTTTAACAGGCCATCTAACAAACTCACCCTGAACCCATTTAGTAAGGATAGTGCCTTCTTCCTCATCATCTCCTTCCATCCAAACTGCTCTTGTCTATTTAAACTCTTCAGCTTGGCTCATACTATTTAAATCAAAACTAAATATATAATTCCTTAACTGCAGGGGTTGGTTGGGTCCAAGTAAAGTTCCTTAGCCATGACAAAGGCTAAAATGCCTTTAGGACTGAAAAGAAAAAGACTGAGAAGAAAAACTACCTACATTATGTCACAATAATAAAAAAGGTAAAGGAAATACAATGTAGGGCCAGATATTGTGTTATAGTTATTTATATAACTATCAAATATCTAGCCACAATATTCAGCAACATTAAAACAAATTAATTTACTGAAACAAATTATCAGTGTGACTTTAAACTAACTGTTTGATTTTTATGTTCTCTCTATATAGATTTAAAAAATATTGAATACTATTCATAATCAAAATTTAAACTTAGACTTAAATTCCTTGCAAAACTTTTACATACAAAAAACCATGCATAATAACACAGATGCATTTTAAAATAGCAACGTATCAATTTAAAAGATTAACAGATTATTCTATCAATACATGTCTAAAATAAAATCAAATAAGATTAAAACCAGAAAAAATAACTATTAAAAAAAAAAATTTAATATTTTTAAAATCCAAAATTAAAAAAAAAAAAAAAAAGTAATAATACAGGCAAATAGATACACAAATAAAATTAATGTGCATAATCTAGAATCGATGCAAAAGTGGAAAAATAGCATGCCCACGCTGTTCAGGAATACAAACACATTTATTTATCAAATTCTTTCTTTCTAAAACTTTAGATTTATAGTTCTTGTTCAGGTCATTTATTAAGTATATGTTGAATAACTTAGACTCTGCAGGTTCCACATAAACATTTTGCATGTTACAGGGTCTGAACACTTTACACTGCATTTCATCTTGTACAATTCTGTCAACTAATGCCACATCTCCATTTTGCAACATAAAACATCCATCTCTTAAGTTAGGGGAAATCTTATTTACTTTTTTTTTTTTTTGGTAAAGACATGAATGCATTTTCATACTCGTGTTCCCGTTTACATACTTGTATAATAGGGTTGTTTGCATTGCGTACTTCTTTTTTAAGTCGTTGCATGTAATTCTCATATGGGAAGCAAGAAATATCATTTAAAGAGCAATTGTGATGTTCAACATCATCCACTAAATGTAATAAATTATGTACGTTATACACAACAAAACATTCACCATACAAACTTGGTGATTTTCTAACAAAATAATTTAATAGCTCTCTAGCATAGTTGATATACTGAGAGCGAATATCAATATTATCTGTAAGTAATATAGAAACGGCAATGCTTAATGAGAGAAAATGTTTATACTGCTCATTTGACAAAACTCTTTTTAAAACTACGTGTCCCGTGTACAACAAAAAGAAGCGAAACTCTGTAGATTTCCATCTGTCAACATCATTTACTTGCCTTGGTTGCCTTGCAAATTCAGTTGGCAAACACCCATTTAAAGCACCATGCAGGTTCGATAAGTGAGTTCTTTGCTGCATGGAAATACGTCCTTTTTTTCCACTTTTCAAAAATCTAATTAATCTTCTCACAACACCTAGACAAACTAAGTGCATATAGTCTAAAACAAATGCTTTGATACATGAAATCCCAGCCTCTACTAAAAGTGTTTGATTTTTTTGATGATTGGGATAGCCAAAGTTATTAAAAACCAGTTCATCTCTCTTAACCATATTTTCTTCTGGAAGAAATACTACACGGTCATCAACATATGTACCAACAATTTCACATCGCTCGCATGAGTTGTATCCCACGTGAAGCACAATTGACTTCATAAAAGCTCTGGCTGGAGCATCACAGAGAAAAGAACTAATGGAAACAGATAATTTTTTTTAATTGAAGATTAAACCATTGGTATGCAAGTCTTTATAGTCATTCAAAAAATCATTTAAGAAATCATTTAAAGAATTGGGTTTACTGACACCACAAAACAATGAACAAATGAATATATCACCAGTAGAAAACTTGCATAATATTGGCCATAAATGGCAACTTGAAGATTTAAACAATGGAATTCCATCAACATTAAAGTTTAATTTAATCTCAGTGCACTCTGGAATTTGAGAAAGAACTTTTAAAATCCCATTTCTCAAACCGAAATGGACATATTCTCCTCCGCATTTTGAAACAACAGATGTTCGACAAGGTGTATGCAGCAATGTCCGGTAATCTTTGGGAACCTGCAAGCCTTCACCTTGTAAAATCTCCAAAATTTCATTTATTGATGCAGAGGACCCTCGATGTTTAATTGCACATATAGCAAGTTTCTCCTTTAAGTTAAAGTTTAACGATGATGATTTACTTTGAACTATATCAGAATTTAATAAAGAACTCTCATCAGAAGATCTAACTAGGTCATTGTCTTTATTATTGATGCTATTAGTTTCATTAAAACTAAGTTTGATATTTGAGGAGCACAGTATCGGATTTAAAGTAAATAATTTTTCATTAAACACACTTTCATCATCATTACTACTAAAAATTAACATTTCTTGTAACTCTTTTTTCCTTTTTCTATACTGCTTCATATATTTTGCCATTCTTTAAAACTAAAAATCAAAATGCAATGAAATTAAATTATTCAAGAAGTTATTTCCTTATTATAAATGTTTAGTTTAGTTTAATTAATGTTTACTTCCTTAAAAAAGGCCTTAACATTCCCAAGTAAGGAACTAAACATTAATTGGAACTAAACAACTAAATTAAACTAATAATAATTCTAAACTTTTAAAATTCTTTTTGCCAAAAAAGAACCACTTGATTTTTTAAAAATCATTATAATTAAATCGATTTTTTAAAAAATCAAGGGAGGTTGCTTCCTTGCACAAGTAAGGAACTCAACATTTACTATAAATCGGTATAATGGAATCCGAAAAAAATCACAAACACAGAAACTAACCTTATAATCCTAAGATAGATTGATCTGTATGCCTCTATAAATATTTCCTAACAAAATTTCCCATGCGGCTTAAGTTTAAACATTAAGCCGCATGGGTAATTTCGTTAGAAAAAAAACTCCGCATAGTCAGCATCGGACGTCAATAGTACGCCTTTCTAAGGTCAGATACTGACGTCGCAGTAAGGTCAGACACTTGACTGTCGCATTTAAGTTGCGTTTTGGTAATATGACCGACTGACCATTATAGGACGTCGAACGGACGTCCTCCTGACGTCTTGTGTTTGCTGGGTAATAATAACATAATAATAATAAATTTTTTATAAGTAATAATAACATTATTGTTTAAAATTAAAATATTTTCTTTTGAATTGCTTGTTAACTAATATTATCAGTTGACAATTGTATAAAAACCCATACATAAGTCATACACATTTTTTATTGATTTATTCTTAACAAAAACCTTGCAAGTGTTTTTTAAAGATAGTAAAAGGTATTATAATTATATTTTATCATTTTCTGATTGCATACTTCTTTATCTTTAGATTATTGTTTCAATCATTACACCAACGTACCTTTAATTTACTTCTTGTTTAGATCTTTGCACATTAGTTGTGGATTTTTTACGATTTCGTAAGTATTAATTACATAATTTTTGGGTTTGTTTGTTAAAAAAATCATGTTCATCATTAAATACAAAGATAAAGTAATATATAGTAAGTAGATGTTAATAGAATTTTTAAAGTATAATAAAGTAATTTAAAAACCTTAAGTTCATGTTTTTTACTTTTTGTGTACTACTTTACCTTTGTTTAATGTTTACATAGTTATATAAACACCTGACCTTGATATATAAATATATATATATATATATATATATATATATATATATATATATATATATATATATATATATATATATATATATATATATATATATATATATATATATATATATATATATATATATATATATATATATATATATATATATATATATATATATATATCTGTGTGTGTGTGTGTGTGTGTGTGTGTTTAGTGATTTTAGTAAATTACAATCAAATATAAAATAAATTACATATAGATATATAAGAAAAAAATTCTAGAAGGAACCCCTGAGTTGTATGTACTCACAGAGCTCAGCTAATAGTTTACGCAGCAT